GCGTACCTCAGCGCCCGCCCTTTGGGGCTCTCGGCAGGACGGGCCATTCGCACCCATGCCACAGGCCCGGGAGCCGTTCCATTAACTGACCCCCACACAAGGCAAATGCCCTGGCCCCAGCCCTGCCGGGGAGAGAAGAGCGCGCAGGCAGGCCCCAGCCAGAACTAGGGTTGCCAGGTGGTCTCCCCAAAAATGCCAGACACCCAGTATTTTTTAGTTGGCTTGGACTCCCAGCCGCTTGCTCCGCCCCCGCCAGGCTTCTGTGCAATCACAATCTCCTAGCACAGATCGTGGCCCCGCCTCCCAGCCGCTTGCTCCGCCCCCGCCAGGCTTCTGTGCAATCACAATCTCCTAGCACTGATCGTGGCCCCGCCTCCCAGCTGCTCGCCCCGCCCCCGCCAGGGCGTGTGCAGCTGGAAAAAGTCAGGCTGCCTGCCTGCCTGGCTCCTAATACACTTTAAATGAAGAGCTGCAGCGGGGGTAGGTCCCAGACCTGACATGAGCCAGGACTAGTTGACAGATAGTTTCACAAAAAATACCAAACATGGCAGGAACAAATTTGGTTGGGCGGGGGGAAAGTTGAGCAAAAAAACCAGGGACCAAAGTTGTATTTTCTGGGGGGGTTTACTGGACACATGTCGCAAATACTGGGCTGTCTGGTCCAATACCGGACACCTGGCAACCCTAGCCAGAACTGCCAGGACCAGTCTCCCCCAAGGGCCTAGGGCGCTGAACACCGCAGAGACCTAGAACCCTAGAACTGGCAGGGCCCTCCAGAGCTCATCTCGCCCGGTCTCCTGCCCTCACGGCATCCCCCTCCTCTACACGCAGCAAGCTCTGGAGTGGGCCTGGCCTCTTCCCTGATGCTGGAGCGCAGGGTTCCTGGGCCCGTGCCGGGCTCCGAGAGGCAAGGCAGCCTCACTCGGCGTGTCACTCAGCACCTTGGACCCTGGGGACGGGGGCCGAGCAGCTAATGAGCTTGTCTACCCAGGATGTGCCCTCAGGCAGCGGCTCAGCTGCCACCTGTGCCCGGCGCCAGGGCGTGTCCACGGAGAGGCCATGCTCTGGGCAGTGCTGGGACTGGCCTGCCATAGGCACAGGGGAGCGCCTGGCCATGGGGCCCTGGCCGCTCTGTGCCCGGAGCCTCGGGTCAGGCTGGAGGGCGCCCCGGCCAACCAAGCAAA